CTTAGGTAGGAAAAACCAAATGCAGAGGTACAAAATAGATGGGACCTGGCTAACAGTATTAACTGTGAAAAGGATCTAAGTGTCCCCTGCTTAAGTATGAGACAGAAATGTGTTGCAGCTGCCAAAAAATGTGTCCTGGGCTGCATCAGCAGAGGGATGGCATCAAGATAACAAGGAGTGATACTGTTGCTTTATACTGCACTAGTGAGGCCACACTTTGAATATTGTGTATAGTTCTGATCACCATGATACAAAAAAGATGCTAAGACCATAGAAAATGTGCAAAGAAGAGCACTAAAGATGATAATGGATCTGGAGGTTAAATCACACGAAGAACAGTTGAGGGAGCTAGGTATGTCTAGCATATACATGTATACAGTATGCAATTTTTTATGATCCTAAGGACTATAATGATTAGTATATGAGAAGGACAACTAGAAATACCTATCTGCAGTCACTGTTGGATCTTGCAGTTACGATTTGGAATGACCAAAAAAAAAGAGCAAGACAATAACTTTCAGAAGATATTCTTCCGAAAAGAAATAAAAACTCTTCACTTTGCAAGGTATTTATCTCCAATCTGGGGATGAAAAAGTCAAGGTATCCCATAGGGAGTGAAGTGGTGTTTTGTACATGTCTTCAAGCTGAGATGCTATTATAACTGTTGTGATCCCTTTAAATCTCCCTTTCCTCTAATGGGAGAAGAGAAGCTAGGCTTTATGATTTGTGAGGCTTAGGAAGGTGTGAACAGGCTCTTGTCAAACAAACTAAGATGGAAATGAAAATACCAGTAACAGCAGATTAGTCTGTAGAATAGTTTCATTTTGCTATTTGGTTTTGCTTCATACTGTTTTTGTTTTCTGATAGATGACTTACCTTGCACACAGAAACAAATTAACAATAAGCTTTTAAATTCACACATAATAGTTCATGGTTAAAGGCAAATAAATGATAGGCAAACTATTACAATGTTCCATTTTTTAAAAATAATGAGCTGGAAAATAAACAAAAAGCTTTTCTTAGATAAGTTTAGATAAGCAAACCATAGTTAGACAAGCTACAACATGGTCAAACCTTATAGGTTAATGTCTTATTGTCCCAGACTAATTACAGTAGATTAGGTCTGTATAAAAATAAAGTCTTTTAAATGCTTAGTTCCTTCCACATATAGCACAAGCATCATCTGTTCAGCCTGAATTGGCTACTTTGATGTCCTGCAACCATTTAGTTAACTCCTATGTTTTGAGGAAGAAAGATGTCTATGAATGCTTTTTAAAGATGTTGTTAAGCACCTGTTAGAATTTGCAGTAGCTAAAGTTATTATGTATGTTCATATATTTTTATCCCTGAATCAATTGATTGCATACTCAAAAGATCTCTAGACTTTGTCCAATTAGCAGAACATTGGAGAACTGGTAACTCTGCTTGTAGTATTTTTCTATATGTTGGGCAACCATCAGCCAAAAACATACATATTCTTTCCTAATACAGTATTCTGTTTTCAAGCAATGTTAATAGGCCCTGTGATTCAAAGCAAATAACATAACTCTTTATTATCATCATCAAAGGGAAATTAGAAACATGGATCTTTACAAATTATCTGCTCAGTTTGGAAAAAAAACCCATAGGACTGAAAATATTACACAAGATATCCATTTAACCTGATTCTTTCCTGCAAATCCTTTCTTTTTTATTTGCACGCCATCCTCATTACCAAGATTAAAATTATGCGAAGAAAGCAAAATGAAACATTAAAATGATTCAAAATATTAATGTAATGCTAAGGATGGCTGAATAACAAATGATACATTTGCTCATAAGCTCTGGATCTGGTAAAATTAATAATGCTTATGGATCATGCATGAGTGAAGAGAGAATTCTAGGGCAGAAAACTAGAAATAGTTTGTGTAGCTCCATTTTTCTTCTTTTAGTGAGTCAGAATCATATAGGGTTTTTTTTAAAGAGAGGAGGGAATACCACAGAGCTTTCACACCTCATTTGCCATATTCACCACTGTGCACTATCCAGCAGAAGACTGCTTCAAGGAGGTCAGTGAGAAGCTATTAGCAGAGTCTTCCCCAGAGATTTCTCTGGTCTTATTGAGTTGGAAGTTAGCATGACAGTACTGCAAATAACTCAGTTGTAGGTTTTTTAACCGTTAGCACAGATTTCCCTATAGTGTTTGTCACTTCAGAAAATTATTCCTAAAAATGATGTCTAGAAAGCTAGGTTTGACAGGGGCTCTTGTGAGAAATGCTTGGGAAGACATGGATACAGAAAAAAATGTGTCATGTTCTCCCCACGTTACTTGGGACTTTATTGTGGCGGGGGTGGGGGTAGAAAATCTATAATTTTAATTAGAAAGAGTAGGAATAGGAAACAAAATAGGTTTGTAGATAAAGTGATTTATTAAGAGTCAGTCCTCGTTCCTACTTAATCTTCATATAGATTGATTTACATGTTAAACCATAGAAAATGCTGGCTTGTTAAATAAACTAGCTTGATGGCTTTGCACTTAGTCCAAGCCAAACAAATCAAACTGTGATTTAGCTAACTCATACAAAGATGGAACGTGAACGATAGATAAGTAAACCAAAAAGAGATTACTCAGTGTTGTTGTGAATAATTTCACAGAAACATAAATTTAGTTTTGGTAACGATAAAAGGGCAAATTAATCAATATGGATTATTATGAAAAGGATAACCAAGTCATCATAGTTGTACATAAATTGTTTTATACTCACTTTTGTAATGCAGTGCAGAATTCTATTTTTGACACTTAAAGAGTGTGTAAGGTAGGAAATGACAGACACAATTATTAGAAGCACATACTCTTTGAAGACAGATATAAGAATTCTTTATTTTAAATTACCTGAGTAAAATAGGTATCTTGTATAAGATGCCATGGATTGTATTTATTATTCAAAATTTATTACTGGTATTTTATAAAAGATATAAAGTAGAGCATATAGTAGTTATGTTGATGAAATCCTACTATCAATTTTAACAAATTTTAACAGGGGTGTAAAACTGATGGCCCATGGGCCAGATGCATCATGCTCAGGCCATGCCCACCCCATCTCTGCAAAGGGGAAAAAACATCATGATAGATCACATGATGGCAATGTGACATGGCGTATACCCGTGGTGTACAAGATCTCATTTAGACCTTCTCTATCTCCTGAAATAGATAAAAAAATATTGTGACTAGTCTTGCTAGTCTACTATCCAAGATTTAAAAGCAGATACATATGGGGTAACCTTTATAACCAGTGGTTCTTTTTGGAATCCTGTCAGTTAACTGGAAGTTTGTCAGGCATTCCTGTGTGCCAAAATCAGCAATAGAAACAAACTTATCTGAAGAAATGATTTACCCTACACTACCAGTGTTCTTGAATCACAGAAGAGATATAAGAATGGGATATAACACCTGTTTTGAGTGCAGAAGCTCTCAGCTGTTTTCTCTAGTTAAAAGTATTAGTACTTAAGTCACATTTATTAATGCCTTTCTTAGTTCCTGTAAGAAGTGATAATAGGAGTTTGAATGGACCTTAATATTTAAGTTCCATTCATATTTAATCCATTCATTTAAGTTCCATCATCCAGCCTCTATCCCACCCTATCATAAAGAACAGAATGCAGAAATAATGGGGAGATCTGTTTTAGAGCATAAAGCTATCATAATAAGATAATATAGTACTAGTGTTGTAGCCTGTCAGCCGCCAGCCCCTCCAGCAGCCAAATCAGAGGAGGAGGCATGGGATTCAGGGTCAGCATCAAGGCAACCTGAGAGCTCTGAGGGGGAAGAGGGAGTGGAGATGGCAGAGAGAGAGGGGGGGCACTGTCAGCCCTCAGATGGAGAGTCAACAACTTCCAGATCTGGAGGTGGGTGATGAGGAATAGGAGGAAGAGCTGGATCCAGTGACTGACACGTGGCTGCGCAGACGGCAGAGGAGAGGTGAGCAGTAGTAATCCGTGGCTGATCCTTGGAAAGGAAGAGCCACCACTGCTAGCGAAGCCTACCCTAGCTCTGGGGATAAAAGGCAGAGGGCAAAGATGAATAGATGTGGCAGATAACTATTCATCTTCCAGATGGGCAGACTTGTTAGCCTGCGGTGAGAGAGCTCACCAGGGCTCCTAATGAAAGAATCTTTGAATTAACTTCAGACGTTTTGTTGTGTTTGGGAAGCTGGACATATAATTTGACTTCCTTTCAGACATCTTCCTGTGATCCTATATGTACTCTAACTCTGTGAGGGAACACAGGTAATCCTTGACTTACAACTGGTCACTTAGCAACCATTCATAATTATGACAGCCCTCCTCCCATGCTCATTTCAGCCTTTTTAAGCTAGCTTCCAGGAAAAAATCACCCATAGGAATACAGTGATTTGCTTATTGACTGTAGTGTTTGCTTAACAAGTGGATAAACAAGATATATACAAAGATTGAGAAGAAACATGTGACTTAGTTCTTATATATGATAACAACAGCAAGACTTAGATATGCAAACTCCTACAGCAGAAGAATGGATTATGAAATTAATGGAGCTGGCTGAGAAAGCAAAATTAATGACTTAGTAATAAAAATTACTGCCATGTTCACATATTGTGGAGTTTGTTCAACAACTGCAAAAAAGAATAATAAATTGGCTATGTGGTTGCTTTGACTTATGACTTATGATGGAAATTCCAGGGTCCCTTACGGTCATAAGTCAAGGACTACATGTGTACATCATATAAGGTAACAATAACATATAATCTTTTTGCTATACTATAGCTTTAAATTTTGTACCTAAAGTCCAATGGAAATGGTTTCTTGCAGAAAGAATTTTGAAAACTATGAAAAACTAGATTGTAGTTGATGTAAAAAGCCAATTATATGCATAAGCATATTTTTGTCATTTTCTGATTCAAGGATAAACACTTTTAAGAAATATTATTTATATTCATTTCATTGATATAATTTGAATAAACATAAAAAATAATACTGTATTTTAGATTGCAGGCATATATAATTCACCCTATCGAAAGTCACCTGATCCATGGGAAATGCAGTTAAAGAAAGCTAAACCTTTGAGGCACAAAAAGAAGATAGAGAAAAATGTTATGGATCTTCCATGGCCAACTGATGACTCCTATAGTTTACAAACGATGTCAACTCTTCCTCCAATTCGAAGACAAAAACCACAGGTAATACGTTTAATGACTGTTAGGTACCCAATGCTATTAACAGCTGATTTCTTTCTAAAGTTGCTGTAGGGTGATCCTTCCAGAGAACAATAAATTACTTATCAAAGAGAATATGTGCAGTTCACGATTGAACTGTGGGATTCTTGGTGCTCTTTGAGCGTGGTTATTTTTTGGAGATGTTTCATTACCAAATTACCGTATTTTTCAGAGTATAAGACACATCTTTTTTTCCTCTAAAAAGAGGTTGAAAATCTGGGTGGATCTTATACACAGAATACAGCATTTTTTGCCTCCTGAAGCCCCGCCTCTTCACCAAAATGGCTGTGCATAGCCTTATTAAAGCTTTCAGAGAGCTCCTGGGGGCCTGGGAGGGCAGAAATAAGCGAAAAACAGGCGGTTTTTTGCTCAATTTTGTTTCCCCCCCCCCAATAAGCCTCCATAAGGCTATGCATGCAGTTTTTTTGACAAATTTTTTTTTTGCTGGTCCCCTCCCCCAGCAGCACTTTGCAAGCCCAACCTCCAAGGCTATTCATGCCTTTTAAAAAAATGTGCCCATTTTTGTGAAAAACGGGCCATTTTGGGGAGGTTTGCAGAGTGCAAAAACGTTTTTTTCCCTTTCAAACAGCTGTTTAGTTAGAAGGATTGATGAGAATTACATTGGTCAAGTGACATAGTTTTAAGTGCTACAGGTTGTCAGCAATTTTCTTCTCCAGCACATGGATAAATATACCTGGAAACATCTACTTACCTTCTCTCTCTCTCTCTCTCTCTCTCTCTCTCTCTCTCTCTCTCTCTCTCTCTCTCTCTCTC